CCCCATGCTGCCTGTTCCCTAAAAGCAGCAGCAGAACCCTCCCTCACTCCACCCTGTCTGTGTTTAGGGCTTTGGCATGCCTACACAAAGGAATTCCAGGGAATTTCAAGGGAAGCTGGCTTCAACCCTCCTAGAGCCCCCGGCGGGCTGGTTCTACAAAAAAGATTCCTATATTCAGTATTCTTACAATATTTCTATATAAATTCCTGCTTGTAATTGTCAAGGTTTGATGTTAATCTTTTAGCTGACAATTACTAATACTTTAAAGGAACTATTAAACTGCAAAACTCAACTCATATGGGGAAGAGCGATTCTAAATAAGTGGTATGACCTTCCTCAAGACTGGGTTCATGTATAAACACAAGGAATTTGTTTCTTTCTCTCATTCAAAATAAACGTATTGAACGTGTAAGTGTCAAGCACTGTCATTGCCTCCGAGGGCACACAGGTAAGATTCAGTGACAGCCTTCAGGGGCTCATAATTCAGGTCTCACTGGTGCAAGAAGAGAGACAAGTGCTAGGTGGGAAGAATGAGGGAAGATGGGCTAGTTAGGGCTAGGGGGTCACAAGTCTTCACAGTGATGGTGTTTGAGTCTTTTAAAATACAAAATGGACACTGAAAGAAGAATTATATCACCGGAAAGGAAACACTGAGTACCTCCAAGATGCAAAACAACCTGAGACTTCAAGGAAAGCCCAAGGAAGGATCAGGAGCTGGAGTAATATTACTGGCCCTGCTAACAATTTGCTGGGTACTTTAGGCTCTTCCCTCAAGTGTTCTGTAACTTCAGGGTGCCTTCTAAATAGAAGATGAAAATATTATTATAAAGTCTATTTAAATAAACCTCCTATATGAAAAAGTCACCTCTTTCCAATTTGTTGAAATAAGAGAGTCATAATATTTATTTCATCAAGGGAGTGTGAAGCTTAGTTGGGATTAATTTACTTCATTACTCCTTCCAGGGCACTTAAAAATTTATATAGTCCCATATGTGGTTTGTAGGAATAGACACGAGGATTTGATGAGAAATAGTATGAATATTTCATCAAGTTTTTTCATCATTCTTTCAAGTCTAACCATCCTCACTCTAGCTTTTCCAGTCCCTCATTACAACGTACCTGGTTACCGTGAGAACTTCCCAAAGGCAGGCCTGAGCCAATCCATTCTGCATGCTGCTGCCTCATTAATCACCAGAGAACCTTCCTTTGCAGGAGGGCCCTCCATCTCCTCTGCACTCAACTGGACTCTCGATGCTCACACAGCATGTGCTGTTTACATATTTATCTATGTCTCCAAGTAGATTGTGAACAACTACAGGCATCAGCTTACTCATATTTTGTATCTCTAGCATCTCACACAGTAACTAGCAGAGAAGAGATGATTAAATAAAGGCTTGTTAAATGAGTGAATGCATGAACCCTCTGCTCATTACAAGGCAAAACTGAACCTGTGTCTACTGAATGCGTGACTTGCCTTCCTGTTTCTCTCCTCTTGCTGCTCACCCTCACCCCAACATCTTCCCTTTCCTTTCTCAATCACCTGATTTTATCTATTTAAGGCAGAGGTTTTCAACCTTGGCTGCACAGCAGAATCACTTGGGGGAGCTTCACAAATAGGATAAACACTGATGCCTGGCCCCACCGGCAGAGATTTTGATTCAGTTGGTCGGGGTAGGGCTCTGGTGTCAGTATTTTGTAAATGCTCCTGTGATGAATCTAAAGTGCAGCCAGCCTTGAGACACACTGACTTAAAGTGATACTTGAGTCCCACCTCCTCCTGAAAAGACCAGTGTGCCTCTGATGAATTTACCTTCCTCTGGATTCAAAGCAGCTACCTTTTTAACCACTTATTAGATAACAAATCAAACACTCCTTCTGATAGGACCTCAGTACTAGTCTGCTCTTAAACTCTGCATTGGATTTTGGTTATTCATGAGTGTACATATACATCATTACTCACACTAGACCAGAAGAACTTTGAAGGCAGGACTGTGTCTGCTACTTCTTTGCATCCTCATGCCATGCACATGGTAGACCAAAACATATTTTTGATTACAACAAACAAACAGACACACAAAAAACTAGTAAAGCCCATTTTAGTTCTACTCTAAGGACATGTCTTTGGTAAGAATAAAAATGTTGCAAAAAGGGTGGGGCAGGATTGAAGCAGAGTAGGAAAAGAGTAAATAAAATTCAAATGGAAAAAAAGCTAAATTAGTCCAAAAGAAAATGTTTCCCAGCTTCTTAGGAGGGTTTTTGCAAACACTGAAGCAGAATAAACAAGAGAATTAACTTGGATTGTGCCCTGATAAGGAGATTTCTTTCTTGGTTATATAATTTTACAAAGTTTCCAGGGTGTAAAGAAAATAATCAGCCAGGGAGGACTACTTCCCTTGAACTATACAATTCAGCTCTTGGGTTAATCAGCTCACAGATCTGCTCAGCTTGACCTGACACTCTTCCAGCCCTGTGATCTCCGACTAAGCCTCATATTCAAGAGCCCTGGCGTAGAATTCAATGTTATAGAAACGGGATAAAATGTAATCCTCATTCCGTAACCTGGATCCCTCGGTGTAGTGGCCTCTGATTAAGCATCGCAAAAATAAACAAGAAGCTATACCTGGTATGTTCTCCTAGTGGCTGGTGTTTCATAGGTCCGCCTTCTCTAGAATGATCAAGCCATGTTCTCCTACTAAGCAGTGTTACAAGGAAGTATTATTCAGAGCAAGTACCTTAAAGGCTAGCTTTAAAGTATTGTTTCGTGCACATATCCCAGAAAAGGTTTATCTTCATTTGGCTTCTCTGCTTGTCAAGAAGTGAGACCACAGGAAAGGCTCAATGAATCACTAAGCACGCCCTCTGCTAAGGCGAGATAAAGCATCAGCTAGAGACATGTTTTCTATATCAAACTTGATCCTAGTTATTAGGCCAAAACTTTAACAACTGGTCCCAAAAGGCATGCGTATTTCCACAGATTAATTAAATGTAAGTTCTTTCGCCTGGGTTAGCCATTTTAACACTGGTCAGATTTTACTTCAATTTCTAATTACTGTTTGAAAACATGATTCAAGGCACTTAATTCTGCTCTTGATTGATTATTAATGATAATAACAAGTTGTCCTTTGTAGATTAAGATAACACTACTGACTCGTCTAATAGGATGTGAGTTGATAAACTGTCACTGATCCATCCACGCTTCACTCCTGGTTCTTCTCGTGACCAGTGGTCTGCATTTGACCTTATGAGCCAAGAACCAACAGCCACCAAAATCCTCCTGTCACCAAAGAGAGATAAAATACTAGCACTCGTCCTACCAGCTAGTTCCTATTGATACTGACAAAATGGAAATGACTGGTTAATTGATTAAAATAAAAGGAAGAAAAGGGGGCTCTAACTTCTTTATTTACTAATAAATGCTAACTCGGATTAGTAAAACTAGGATTTGGAAGCCTGAAATCCATGATACTATATATAATAGACTGAATCACAAAATCAGCGTGTGTAATCTAAAATCTAAAACAGAGATAAACTATAAGTTTTCAAGGAGTGGAGTCAAGGATCCATGAAAATGAATGGATTCACAAGGAATTTTGCTTCCTCAAATTAGAGTTTAGGTAGTAGTGCTTGACAATCCTTAATGATATCCCTGATAGTTGCAAACAGGGTCTATTTAACATAGTTTATAAACCAGGGTACAAGCCAAAGGTCATTAGGTTCTACAGGAATATTTTTGGATGTGTTCCACTGAAAAGAGAAGTCATGGATTCAGACGGAACCCAGGATACCTGAATCATCAGGGAAAAGGCATCACTGAGGCAGTGAGCACGCCAGGGCCCGAAAACTCAAGAATGTTCGCCCAAACGAAAACAAGCAGCTCCATCTTCTCAGAACATGGCTGACTCAATCACCAAGCTGGAATGTTATTTACACAGTCGCAAGCAAACCAAGAAGAATCTTCTGGTCTGTAACCAAGGGTACTTGGAAAGTTATGTCTGAAACGGGCAAAGGCTCATGTCTGTTTTTGATGATTCTTGACTCCTTGAAAACGAGCCAGTTTACCTAATGTAGTAAAGGGTGACAGCTCTCTCCCCAGCACCTCCTCCAGAAAGGACAATTAGCATGATATTTCATGCCTCTTTAATTAATAACTTGGATTTCTTATATGTTTAACAATATGGGCAAATCTGGGTTCTGAATTCTGCCCCAGCCAACAAATGGGAATAATCACACTGTCTTCTTCCTCCTCCTGCTTGCAGGAGAGGTTGTGGTAGAACCTGGTCCACACAGCAGGATAAAGCTGAGGTTAGACGCCAGGAAAAATAAATTTCCTAGTAATGAAACATTTTACCAAAGAGATTAGACTATGGTGTCCCTTTCTTTGGAGTGGGAGGGAAGATTAAGAAAGGAGTAGAAAGTAACCTTTCTGGATGGAAGGGGAGAATTCTATTGGAGGCCAGGATAGAAACCATAAATAGGGAGCTCTGAGAGAGTCATCGTCCTTCTGGAGTCTTTCTAGCATCATCTAGTACCTTAGATATGGGGAACAGTTTATTCACTTGGCACAATCTGTCTCCCTAAGGCTTTCAGAGCATATCCACCGCAAGAAAAAGCACCATCACTATTTAATTTATTTAACACACAAAGTATGTAGTCATCAACTAATACCAGCTAAGAGAAATGACTAATAACTCTTTAGAGATGGAGAGTTTGAGATTCCTAGAGGTGTGGACTTTGGTCACCTACAAGCTATTGGCAAATATCAGGAGGCATGCTAACACTCTGGGGTCGATTCTTACATATTTTTTCCTGTGTGTGAGATGTCTCCTCACTTCATCATAACTGCTACTGGGGCAGGCAGGGATTCTGATTTCTCTACCCACTGACAGTGCTGGCCCAGGACAGACAACGTGGCCAATGCTTTTAGAAGATGAACCCTCAGATTGCTAGGTACATTTTGTTCTCTGACTTTGACAGTCAGAGAAGATTGTCAAAGCACTCACCTGTCTTCTCTCTGAACCAAGGTACTGGAGAATCAGCCGAGTGTTCACACTGTGACTCCAGGTGTTTCCTAGTGCAGCTGTCACACAGCTGGATCCAGAAGGGCCTGAAATGAAACAGGGCAAAACCGTGATTATGGATGCCCTTTCTTATAATGATGTTTCACATAAACAAAAGTCCAGTCATTGCTCATTGCTCAGAGAGTACTCAGGGGCTCAGTTCATTACCACAAAAGCTGATGAATTAGAGAAGGAGAGGGATTAAGGTATATGAGGCTAAAAGTAAAAACCAGCATGAGTTTCCTTCAGGCTTAGTGAAAGTGACCACCACTCGGCTAAAAGATACAGTTATCTTTCAATAAGAGATTGCACTGAAGGCAGCTTGGAGCCATTGCTAATAATAAATCAAGCCACTCAGCATCCATGGAAGAAAGACATAATGCTACTACATAGAATAAGAGCCAGTTATGAAATAGTCTTAGATTAATAGAGTTGCAAGACTTTTTTAGCTTGATAAGAGTCTTAACTCCGTTTTCCTTATCAATATAGAAATGGTTACATATGCATATAAAATTCCTTTGCCCTTTCAACCCCTGCGCACACACACACACACACACACACACACACACACCCCAAGAAGAGGAATCTGGAAGATCTCACCATTTCATATCAATTTGTATTAGACATCCTTATCCCAAGAGAAACCTTCTTTTACTTTCTAAGACTTTCCTATGAGAGAGAGGATCTGAAGTAAACTTTATCTGAGCTTCCAGTCTACTCTAAGTTGCACTTCAGCTACTATCTTACATCTCCAGAGCTTCACTGATCCCTCCTGACATCATCAGGAGGAAATCACTCCTGCTTTCCTCCACTTCCTCCTTAGAGGCAGGCTCACAAGTCCTACCACCTAGAAGCCAGCCCTTACTATCATATCTAGCACTTCCTGAGGTCTCCTCCCAACCTCTGTGCCTACTTTGGCCCTGGGCCATGGGAGGAATCCCAGCCATAGATGGCACAGTGGTTTTGCCTTCTATCCTCAAGATGCCATCTCTGTTCAATGAGGAGACTAAGTACAGAGAGGTTGAAGTCTACTGAATTAGCTAAAACAAAATAAGGTCTTGAGTTTCTCATTTGTTATCTTCTCACTGCGTCATCTGATTTTCACCCCTCAGTGTGGAGCAGGAATTGGTCCTTCTTTCTGGGCTAGACATCTTTGAGGGTGGTCTGCCAATTTGCATGGCCTTAAGCTCCTGGGCCCAAATACTACAACAGATGAATGTGGTTCAGTGGTTCTAGGCTGGAAGTGATTTTGTTGGCAATGTTGAAGTGGGAGTGCACTGGCATCTAGAAGGTAGAAGCCGGTGATGCTAAACATCCTGTAATGAAAGGATAGCCCTCCACAAAAAAGAACTATCCAGCCCAAAACATAATAGTGCTGAGGTTGAGAACCCCCAGGGGAGGTAACACCAACTATCTGTCTTCTCTGATTCAAGCAGGTACAGGCATAAATTAGATGGATGTCAACAACTGGGGCCTCAACAAGTCTGAGGATTTCAGATTGAAGAGGAATTTAGCATAGAAAAGAATAAAATTCAGGGTGACCTTGGTTCATTATGCACACAATTCAAAACATACACAAATTAATGTGAAAACAAATAATCCTCACTGTGCTGATCTGATGACATCACTCCCTTAAAATCCTCTGGCATCCTCTGTGCCTGAGGATAAAACAGTAACTCCTGAACAATGCCTCCTGGGCTCTTTGTCATCTGCAGCTACATCCCTCTAAGCTCCTTCACGGGATAGTCTCCGGTAACCTCCTGACCTCTCTGTCCCCATCCTCCCTGACCTTTTGTCAGTAGTTAATAAAGCTTCCCTCTCCTTTGGCATCGAATTTACTGGCCTCTTCTGCTTCCCCTTGTGCCATGTTCATTGCTGCTTTCCCTGCTCTGCTTTTCTTCTCCCTCTCTTCTTAGTTGTGGTGGACCTCAGGCAGCTGGCCAAGGCCAGGGTTTTCCTGTCTCATACCCAAATGCCTCCAGTGTCTAGGAAAGTAATGTACATTAATGAAGAGGCCAGTTTACATTTTAACATGCAGAAATACTTTACGACCACAAAGAGATGTACTCTTTTCCATTTCTCTTGAAATATGTCACCCTCTCTGTCTTTCATTTACCTCTTTTTGAAAGAGGCACATGAACAGAGAAATATTTTCTGCTATAAAAAAACTAACATTGCAAGGGCAATAGCTACTGATTTTTCTTTTTTGCATTTTTAAAAAACAGCTTTATTGAGATAACTCATCTAGCATACAATTCACCCATTTAAAGTGCACAGTTCAATGGCTTTTACCACATCCATAGAGTTGTTCAACCATCACCACAATCAACTTTAGAACATTTCCTCACCCCAAAAAGAAACCCCATCCTCCTTAGCCATAAGCCTCCAGGCCCTCTTTCCTGCCTCCCAGCCCGGGGCAACCATTAATCTACTCTTTTCGTTTGATCTTAAATGTTAGGAGATGATGGGGAGCTGTGGAGACTGAGGAGCATTAGAGAATTCATCCACGATCTCAAGGGGACAGCCCCTGTCCAGCTCCAGCTGTTGTTGTCATGTGGCAACACAAATTCATAGTTAGCCACATCTTTTGATTTTTAAAAGAGAAGCCAGAAATCAACATTTTAAGTACAATCTCCTGATTTAAAAATACTGGCTTAATTTTTAAATTTTTTCTAACACACAAATAAACATGCTTAATAAGCCAGATATGACTCATTCCCACCAAGCTTGCAATGTCTGCTCCATATGGCATGGCCTCACAAGGATGACACCCATGTGGATGATTTCTAAGCCTTTGTCTCAACCTCTCACTTGCCTTAGCACCTGCCCTCCATTTCAACCACAAGAACTACACGCCTGACCATAATGAATTTTAGCACCATAAACTCAATCCCTTCAAATCAAACTCATATTTTCCCATATAAACTTATTTCGTCTTTGTCCCTTTCTTTGGTCTTCCAGTTAATCTGGTTTGAAATGTCAGTTCCATTTTTAAAATTCTCTTTCTCCCATGTTCCTTGCTTCCCATAAATTGTGAAGTCCTATTGATTTAACTGTAAAATCTCACCTCCATCCATTCCCTACCCTCCATTCCTCCTACCTCAACCTTTGATCAGACCCTCACACATTAGCTTTCACCTGGGGATGACTGCTATAGCTTTCTAACTGATGTCCACATGGCTGTCCCAGTGTCTCCCTATGAAAGCCCATCTTCTCTTCTACTGCCTGATTAACCTCTCCGAGCACACATCTAAGTACCTACCCTGCTACTTATGATCAACATGCTCAAAAACTTCCAATGGCTCCCAAGGGCCTTCACAGAGTTCTAAATTCCTAAGATTGGCATTCAAGACTTTTCTAGCCTGTGCCCAACCTGCCTTTCTACAGCTCTTCCCGCCATCCTGCTTCACATAGATTTTGCTACAATTTAATCACTAGTGCCCCATGTCCCCTCCACACTTGGAATGCCTCTATGTCCGCACATTGTCCTCCAGACCATTTCCTACCTGCCACTTCCCTGATCATCTCAGAAATAATGTATTCCTCCTCTAAACTCCCATAACACTTTCACTCTCTTATGTTACTGTCAGTTTTCTATCCTGTAGCAAATTACTTGTGTGCTTTCCTTATCACCACTAATATATATTTTAAGTGGGCCAAAGCCATGTCTGATTTACGCTGGTATGCCTGAATCACTTAATATAAGTTCTGAGACACAGAAGATGTTTAATAAATACTGGTTAAATAAATAGCTAATAAGTTATTCTCCTAAACTTTGAACCATGTTATATACTTGTTTTAGCAGCAGATTTACATTCTTAATTCTATCTTGCTTAAGCTAAAATTAATAGGTTTACATTTTTCAAGCAAAGTCTAGAAGCTTGTTGCCTACATGCCTGCTAAGTGACAAGATGAAGTGAGGCTGAGCTTTAAAGTCTGCCAAGGAAAAGCTACGTGTGAATAACTAGGAGTTTCTAATTAGTTAAGCACTCAAAAATTTTTCTTAGTAATGAAACTGTAAGAGCTTCCCAGGTCTAGAAGATGTTTTCAGAGGTCAGAGCCATATTTGGCCAACAGTGACTATTTAAAGAACTACATGTCCCTAAACCAATGAGAATCGTCTAAGAAAGTGCCCATATACTTGGCTGTGTTCTGGAAAGGTAAGCTCAAGTCCTAACTAAGGGCCATGAGCACAAATGACCATGGAAAATGGAAATCCTGAGTGAGCAAGCTTGAGGAGATACATTTTCAGGAGTGCTTATAAACATTAAGCCACCTGCAAGAGCAATAAGAGCAGGGCCTTGGAAGTTAATGATAACAAAACACAATATTTTTGAAGTACTGTAAGGTAGGCCCTCGATAAGCCCTTTACAGAGGGAGGGCTTACGTCTTCTTTGAGCTTCACATCTTAGTCATATCTTTTCTGTTCTCCACACCACCCTATGAGGTAGGTAATATTATCATCCCTATTGACAGACTGAGGGTAGGAGAGATTAAGTAACTCGCCCAAGGTCCCATGGTTGGTTAATGACAGAGCCAGGGTTCAAAGCCACGCCCACTGAGTCTTAACCACAACTCCAATTAGCCTTCTCTGGATTCATCATGTCAAATAGACTGCTACTCTGCCAGCCCAGAGGGTCTGTATGAAGGCCCATCTCTGGGAAGACACTGACAGAGGTGTGCTGTGAGCATCTTATCTCATCTGCACTCTGCGTGTCACTCGGTTTCCTCTGTTCTGATGCATAGTGATAACCCAGGGCAAGGGGTTTCCAGAAAGACGATGCATGCCCTAGCTCCGCAAGTTATTTAACTTCATTCAACTGGCCCAGCAGCTAGATTCATGCAAATCAGGTGGCCTGAAACTAACCCTTTCTGGTTGGAGGCTTAAAAGTCTGGTCAGGATTGGAAAACTATTGCACTTAACAGGGTTTCAAATATGGGAAAACAACTGAAGAGTGGTTATAGGTGGTGGGATCACTTGAGAGAGAACTGGGAGAAAGGGAAGTGAGGAAGCAGTCAGTTACCATAAATTTGTAACTTTATTTTC